TTTATTGGATCGTGTTAGTGAGAGAGAGAAAGGAAAGTAGGGGAAAAGAATGGCCTATAGGGAAAGGGTCATGAGCAGGATTTGAACTCATGCTGTCAGCTGTCTTTAAACCCATTCAGGACACTTTTCCCACTATATACTACATCCTGATGCGTTTTCAGGACATTCTGAGACGTGAGATTTTTTGACAGAAACGACATGCTATAGTATGACTTTTTTGTTTCAGGCCAAAACTCAAAATGACTTTTCTTTGTGAAATACTTTCCTGAGGTGATTTCTACGACATGCATCGCACTATTTTCACTGTATACTACATCCTGACAGGTTTTCAGGACATTCTGAATCATGACCATTTTTTGACAAAAACGACATGCTATAGTATAGAACTTTGAGTAAAAGTTTGAATCAAAACACCAAGCTGACTGAGAAAATTCAAAGCTGATGACAATAAGCAAGCACTCTGCATAGGTTGAACTTCCATCATAAGTCTCTTTTAATGAAAAAGCACAGTGTCACAGTGTCACGTAACAAATTTTGAGCTTAACAAGTAAACGAATCAGATATATCAGATATACAGAAATGGGGACTATAGCATCTGTTTATTTAGCGAGGAAAATATTACATATACTTATCCAAACTTCACACAAACTTACAGAAGCACATAAAATAACTTTTCTACTGTATATTTAAAATTTTGCCCTGAGACGTCTCTCACTATACAGTAAATCTAAGGCTCCCAGTTTGATGACAGCAATTCTAAAGCAAACCTTGGTCATAAAAATTCCTATTTTCACGCTTACACATTTCCAACTAACATACTTATAAATTAGGTTAAATCATATTTTTTGAAATTTATATAAAATATCTGATCAAATTCTTTCACAAATTCCAAACAAAACCAACACTGTGTTAAAGCTTTACAACATCTATACATTCATAAAGTAACTTTAATAAGCATTCAACTCAAGCGCTTCTCTCCGGGAGGTAAAGGCACAGCCGGGACCCGCCACGCCGCTCAGGCCTCCGCGGTGACGGTGGGACCGTTGCTGGTGTCCTCCAGTGGCGTCGTCTCACTGGGGCCGCTGGGCTCCTTCTCAGGCTCCTTTTTTGTGTCTTCCTTCGCTTGGTCAGACACCAGAGGAGTGTCCTCTGCCGCCGCCTGCTGCTCGCTGCTGGTAGTGCTGGCTGGCTCCTGAGCTTTCTCCTCAGCTTTTTTCTCCTCAGCTGCTGCTTCTGTCTCATTGACTATCTGGACGGAGTCGGCAGCAGAGGCCTGCACCGGTTTCACCTCCCCGTTCTGGACTGGGAAGACGGCCTCCAGTGCGCTGTATAGGAACTGGTAGTGCTCCTGTTGGAAGCACGAGTTTGAGGTGAGACAAAAGACATCGTGGGATGTTTTAGGTTCTTATAAGAGCAAACCTTGCACACTTTCCCAAATCAACACAACTCAGAGCACCGGAGGAGAGCTGCAAACGACAAGTCTGCTGACTTTCTGTCAACAATCCCACAAAAACACAAACACCGACTTCATCCCACTGTTAAGTTATTCTGATGTTGTGGATGATTCCTGACCTCTGTTGTTCTACCCAAACTATTTTAAACACATTAATTCGCCACACGGTTTCACTACGTGACATGTTCCCTCATTACAATGAACAGTAGTGTTTTAATGAGTCAGTCTCACACACACACACACACACACACACACACACCATCCTGCTGCTGTATTACACACTCAAGCATAAATTTGCAGCTAAAAATAAAGAGTTTTCTGCTGTTTGCTAAAAAAAAAAAACAAGGAAACTGCAGTGCGCAGCTGATTTAGAGCATGATTCATCTACTTTCAAAAGGATCTACATCTTCAGTAACAGCTAATGAGCTTTGGTTTGGACTGATGTCATTACTGTCAGAAGTTCTGGGAGACGAACTCTGGCAGCGTTTGGTTTGGTCTTTTCATGGGATTTATGGATTTCAATAGATACTGTAGATAGAATATCACCAGCCTTTTCATTCTTTTATAAACAGCATCATAAGCTAAACTTAATTTAAACTTTCAATAATAGTGATGGGAACGTGATGTGAAATCTCCTGGTTCAAACTACCACAGTAAACCTAAACAGTAAACTCATACTAGAGGGAACACTGGGAAAAAAAACCTATTTTATCATGTCAGTCTTTGCAGACATGGTCCCCGTGGTGCCTTTCACTCTTCTGCTGCTGTTAGAGTTTAAAGCAGTGAACCAGTGTGTGCTCTTCCTCACCAGGCTGGACAACATGTTCTGTCTTTCCTTTCGCAGAGTTTTGGCCACTTGGAAAACATCCACCAGCTTCTCGGTCTCTGCGCTGTCCAGCAGATTCCACAGCGCACAGAAAACGCCGCAGCGGGACGAGCCATCGCTGAGGAGAGGCAGCACACAGACGCACAACGTTAAAAACTCTCTGCATTAATGCCTTTAACAAGCGTTTTTGAATCAGGGTGGGCTGCAGCGCATTTATCAGACTGCCAGAAGGACCGTTTTTGTCTGACTCCATGAATAGCAGCAGGAGAATCTCCAGATCTAGTCCGGTTTTCTTCTGTTTCTAATTCAGCCAGATGAATAATTCCAAACAAGTTTAACTACTAATAACACTGCTGTGGAAAATTAGCAAATTTTCACAGATGCAATGAACTTTAAAAAAACATATTTAGTTCTTTAAGAAAAAAAATGGTTAAACTATTACGGTTTCTCTAAAAGAATAAATAAAGTCATGTCATTTATTAGTTCTTCCTGCGTTATTCATACATGTCATTGCTCATGTGATCAGGTCAGAGCTGCTCTTTAACATTATTCTTACTATAAGCAGGAATAAGCGCAGCAGCCCGACAACTTCATCAGAACATTTGGTTTCACTCCTAAGTTGGCTCTTAAAAAGAGTTCATCAACAAACCACTGACTCAACTAAACACAAGAGATTTACCCCTGATTTGTACTGTATCGTATATGATTTGTTCAAATACACAATATTTCTTTGTGTGTGCATTTTTTTGAACAAGGTATGCTGCTGTGGGAATATTTGTGATCTTTGTCGAACTCAAGGACGTGCAAAAGTTGTTTCTTCCAAAAGCTATGACAGACCTGACACACCTGAGTGTTAAGTCATCCTTACTAAAACATGCATTTGCTCTGTGAGGTCGTCTTACTTGCAGTGGACCACAGTGGGAATGCTCCTCTGTAATTTGCTGCTGCCACAGTTGTGCTTAATGTCCTTGATCATATCTGTGAGATCTTGCGGTTTCTCCGGCAGATCTCTGCTCTCCCACTTCAGGAACTGGAAGTGTTTCACTGGCCGACTCTCTTTCCTCTGCAGACAGAAGCGGTGTTGTTATGAACGTGGAAGCGAAACCGACTTTGTTGCGGGGACATGATGGGTGTCGGTTACCTTGACGTGACGGATCAGCATGTTGCGGCGGATGAAAGCCGGGAAGGTGTCCGTGCTTGCCACTTCCACCTCGATTTCCCCAAATGTTTTCTTGTCCTCATCCCAGTAGGCAGACTCCTGTGGACCAGAAGACACACAAAAGACCAATAAATTTAACAAACATGTGAGTGTAAATCATTTTGAGTGTGTTGTGCTTCAGGTACCTTTTCTCCCTCACTGCAGTCTGAAAGCATGACAACAGTCGATACTTTCTTCTGGTAAACCATCGACCAGAAGTGAGCGATGGTGTCCGTCAGTGGAGTCTGTGCTGCGATGAGGGCACGTGGGCTCCAGTAGCCCTGTGAGGACAAGAACACACATCCATGTATTGCTGTACACAGTCCAGACGAATAGGATGTGACACATTTAATTATATGTGGGAACTGATTTAGAGTTAATGGAGTCACACTTGCTAAAACCAAACACAGATCGTTGAACAGAAATAGCAAAGTGAGATAAACATGTCAGTAAAATAACGCACATCGAGCTGGGAGGCGTTGATGTATATAGTGGAGTCCATATCCTCTTCATCTGACGACTCCTCCTCCTCCTCGTCTTCATCTTGGTCACTATCACGACTGCGGCCTTCGTCTAGTTTCAGCAACACTCGGTTGTAGTCATCTGAGGGAGGCAGGTTTTACATGTTAGGACACAAGAGAAGCTAAATCCATTTATCTAAACATACAGTAGCACAGAGACACTGAGTCTGTAGCTGATGCTCACATGGGATGACAGACGGACAGCGATTCTTCTTCTTGTTTTCCTCTGTGATCCCCGTGTTGGACGTCCTCCAGTTCTTAAAGGTGGGAAGTCTCTGAATTGCAAAAGAGTGAAGTCGTAATTTCATTATTTCAAAATCAAACTTCTTCCAAAATAAATAAAAAGGATGTGAAGGAAAAAGGGAGATAGAAACACTACAGTGATGGGTTTGGGATGAAGGCGGAAGTTGTTTAGGATGTTTGATTTAAGGTGATTTACACGACAGAAAACAGAAATCATACAATATTTTACTTGATGTTGCTGTGTGATCATAAGTGCAAACCGGCAGTTCAGTTTGGTGCAAATCAGTCTTCAGCGTCGTACTCTGCATACCGGGCGAATACAAATGTGATGAACAATCGAATAAATGAAGACGTACCTCAAACTCGTCCTCCATTAACGTGGGCTCGTTGTCGGAGTTTTTCTGCTGGAGCGTGCTCACTGTGTTGTGGAGCTCAGACAGAGAGGTTTCTGTCTCTCCAAACTGGTTGTGCTCCAGCAGGGCCTGGTGAATCAGGATGTACTGGGCCTACAGGTGGACAAAGACGTTTATCTTAATACACAAATGATATATTTATGTATATTAAGAGAAATGCTGCCGTAAAGCTGCACAGCTCACGTCAGCATAACTTAAATGCAGCATTTTCTGCAAATACTTCATCACTGTACTCCAGTAGATTCTGCAGGTATCTGTACTTCACTTGAGTATTAATTTTTCTGACGACTTTCTACTTTGACTCCCTACATTTGAACACAAACATCTGGACTTTCTACTCCTGACATTCTCTAAACTGGCTCGTTGCTTGTTTCAGCCTCTGCTGATGACGACATGACGTAAAAGACGTAACAACAAACGTCTTTATCTTTCCCAGCAGTTTGTCACTGAAGCTCCACACAGGCCTGCCTGCCTCGGCTGCCTGCCAGAGGCTGTTCAGCTCTGCAGGACTGATGTTCAGACCCAGAAGGGCAGAACTTTGAGAACCAGCTTCTGCTGAGGCTCAATAACAGATGATGGTAGCCTTGAAGAGACGAGTGTTTCCATGTTGATTCTAATGTTTAATGTTTATAATGAAATTGAAACTGTCCAGTGATGTGTTTCTCTGTAGCAGCTCTGTGCAGCTTCCTAAAGGATGAAAACAATCCTGGTTTGTGTGATTAAAACTTTTTTCATTTTGCAGAGTCATCAAAAGAGGCATCGCGTATCATCGAAGCTAAAAATTCATTTTTACTTTTGTACTTAAGTAAATTTCTGAACCTGTACTTTTTAACTTTTACTTGAGTAAAGGAGTTAAATCAATACTTTTACCAGAGTCTACTTTTACACAAGTAACTCTACTTCAGTAAAGAATGGGAGGACTTTTGCCATCTCTGTACTTTAGAGTTAAAAGCCAGCTTTGGTAATATTGTGTGGACTTTATGTGCATACATAATAATAACTGAAGATAATAAACATGCATGAATACACTTCACACTCAAACACACATTGAGCTTAACCTGTGTGAGCTTCTTCTTTCTGGTAGACACTAGAGAGCACTGTGAGCCACAACAAGCAGAAACTTTCTACACATCAAAAAAAAGTAAGAATAGTTCAACCAGCCGTGAGAGGTCCAAGTACAGTTTGTGTAAAATTACCCTGAAACACCTGATGTCCAATCATTACAGCCTAACATACTTTCCAACTTGCCCAACCACATTTTTGTGCTACTTGTACAGTTCAGTTACTCAGTAAGTCACAGTCCTCTTTGCACATAAAAGTGTATATTTGCTCAGAGGCCATCAATTTTAATTGTAGAAATCCTTTTTTTAAAATAAATACTCAGCCAATAACCCTGATTCTCATCACACGTAGCAGCACACAGTGTCTAGAACATGATCTGAAGTGATATCTTACCTCTACTTGAACCATGAGACACCTCTGTCTGCGGAGTCTGACTAAATACCCGTAGATGTCCACTCTGCCCTCGGCCTCCAGACCCTCCATCATGGCGTCGATGCCGATGTAGGTGCCCGTCCTGCCGACTCCAGCGCTTCACGAGAGAGAGTTATAGATTGTTTAGACACGAGTCTGTCAGTTATCACATATCCAGTGACTCATGAAGGCACAGCGACGGGGAGGAAATGTGACCTTTCCCTGATTCGGCAGCTCCGAGCCGAGTTTGGAGAAGCGGTTGTGCCAAAAAACAACACTCAACGAAGCACCGTGTCTCCGAAAGTTTCAATGCATGCTGGTCATTAGCAGAAAGAAGATGATCCAGTCAGACTTTCTACAGTTTCACACAGCATGTAAGCGGTATAACTTATGCAGCTCAGCAACCACAGAGTGGAACTAGTCGGAACAAATCAACGCTGTATAAGATAAGCAAACATAAGGAATGACATGAAGAAAAGTAAACACAGCAACATAAAAAATGTATATTGTTTTGTTCGTGGCGCATCTGATGAAGGGACTGAAGTGGAATGAACACAGTGGGAAACAGAAAGATGCCATCCGCAGACAGAGTGGGACCTGGAGTACCTGCAGTGGACGACGATGGGGCCGCTGAAGAAGTTCTTGAAAGCATTGACCCGCCGCCTCAGCTTCAGCAGGAGGTGAGGCTCTCCTGGGACGCCGTGGTCCGGCCAGCTCATGAACTGGATGTGGGTCACCTCCCTCTCTGAGTTCTTATCCCTCTTCTGCAGACACACACACACACACACACACAAATGGTTATGCAACAAAACAATACACCTACAAATACCAACACCAACAAAAAAATCTATTTGTTGAGATAAAGATGCACAGACACGCTGTTTGCCACTATTCCAACTACGACAGTTTGGATGGAGACTCACATTCATTAGGCTGAGACGGCGGATGGTGTAATCTGGGCAGTGGTCCTCGGAGTTCAGCTTCACTACGAACTCCTCAAAGATCTCGGTCTGTCGGTCAATAGACGGCCAGTACTGGGCACACTTGACCTGTTAAACAACATGAGGGAGGAGACAGAGAGTGACTGACAACACATTTCTTTAATATCAGTAACAAATAAAGTATGACAATCGAGTATTTAACGCAAGAAATCAAGTAGAAAACATAGAAATGAAAACATGACGTGCACATGAGTGATTATGTTGGGCTTCTCTGTATCTGACGATTGCATGTGGCAGAGTAGCTGAAGTGTTTGAAAGACGGAATCAAGTCGGTAAAATTAGTTTCCATTAGTTTTCCAAAAATCAGTGGTGGAAGAAGAATTCAAGTCCTTTGCTTGGGCACGAGTCCCAACACAGAAATGTAAAAATAATCCAAGTAAAAGTCCTGCATGAAAAATCCTACTGAAGTAAAAGTAAGAGAAGTGTTAGCGGCAGAACGTAGCTGGTACGTCTGGCTGATTTATTATATTTGACATCAGTGTGTCAGCAGCCTGTTGCTGTTGCAGCTGCTGCAGGTGGCGCCTGTTTGAACTACTTTATAGTTCTAAATGCAAACACAGCAGAACAACATGTAAAGTACATGGAGGCTCGTCAGATGATTAAAAGAAAGGAAAGAAGAAATAATAACAATAATTAAATTAATAATAGTTTTCAGTTTTTGGTGAAACTTTGGGTGATTTGAACATTTGCTGGAATGAAACCATGTGGGGTGTTCAGAGGAGAAAAATCACTATTTGGTGGAGCTTTAACAACTTCTGAAGTGTGACCCAGACTACTAACTGCTCTTTGTAAGATGTCAGAGGCCAAAAAAGGTTCAATCTTCCTCCGCGGATACGAGCGGCCGACATGGTGGCTGGGCTCAGCCTTAGAGACAGGGTGAGGAGCTCGGACATCCGGAGGGAGCTCGGAGTAGAGCCGCTGCTCCTTCGCGTCGAAAGGAGCCAGTTGAGGTGTTTTGGACATCTGGTTCGGATGCCTCTGGGGAGGCTTCGTCTGGAGGTCTTCCGAACACGTCCACCTGGGAGGAGACCCCGGGGCAGACCCAGAACCCGCT